CCGGGATTGAGGCCCACCCGGCGGGGCTCCTGATTCGACAAGGGCTACTAGCGAGCCAGCCACAGTAATGCGGCTATCTGCCACACCTTCACGCAGTTAGTGCATAATCCGGCTGGCACAATCAAACTGAATCTCGGCTAGCTCTTAGTTTAGATTGAATGATCTACCATATACATCCATATTAGATCTAACCCTTACAAACTATCATTATGAACAACAGTGACGTTGATAGAAATGTTATAACCATAAACAACACGACAAATTATGGGCCTATGACTGAAAGCAACGTTGCAAATCTGCGGAACTGGGTGTTGGAATTGCACACCGTCCCAAGGCTACCATGCGCAGCCAGGTTATGAAAATAAAGGACCCGCTGAACCCTACAGAACAATCGAGGGTAGTGTATCGCATCCCGTGCTCAAGCTGCCTTTGCAACTACACAGGGCAAACTGGACGCATGCTGGGTACGCGAATACTTTATATAGAACATTTAATATCCTTGGCAAAAGTACATAAAATGGAATAAGTATATATTGAATATATCGTAGGAAGCAGCAAAGGATGCTGTTATAACAGACAGTTGATATAATCGACTAATTCTCCTGGACACTTCCGTCATTCACTCTGCTTCCATAAATTCGCTTATCATTGTTTAAAGGCAGCGTAATATTCGGGCACCAGCAGTTTTGGAATTTTGCTTCTCGGTAGTGATGCAGGCACGACTTATTCTGCACATTTTGAACCCAAATACATCCGTGCAATAGCCCCTAATTTCGCAATGGCTTCCCTGATGTCTGTCCTTTCTAGGTTCAGGGGTATTATTAAACAAAATGGAGGCATACGTGGCTCTATCGTTACTTTATTTAGGTTTGATTGTTACCATATAATTATGAAATGTTACTTTTATGCAGAACTGACGAACTAAAGGATGGTACGCTTGTAGGCGAGGACTACCTCGGCAACAAATACTATATGAACAACCGCTACTTTGTTGGTTTGTTTTTATATCGCTTTCTTTATGATGTTTGAGGGCGTAATCGGTGGGTAGTTTATGGAAACCGTTTTGGCTGGGATTATGAAGGTTCACAGGTTCCCCCAGAATGGTAATTTCATTTACTCAACTGCAGTGCTTAGGCATCGATGGCTTCATTATATGACCGACGAAACTCCAATCGCTCATCCGCCCGAGCGAAAGCCCTGGATGCAAGACCATAAGGAAAACACAACTTTGCAACCTGATGCCAAATACATCCCCTATCCCACAGTGAAACCGAAAATCGAGGCTTGGAATCCCAAACAATAAACTGATCGAAAATACTACCTGACCTGTACCTTTTAGTACACATTTATTTGCCAGTTGTCACTAGGGCACTGATTTTGTTAAAACCACGTTTTACTTATAAATTTCGCCTTAGAGAATAGGCTTCCAAGCCAAGTGACTTGTTGCTATATCGTTCCGGTCTTCTCTATGTGCGCTTGGCCTGAAAAGTTCCAGTTTTTTTCTGGTTTGCTAGTTTACTCCTACTTGTTTCCGTTAGATCAGCACTACCACACTTTTCGATCTGTTTATCCTTGCAGTGTTGCGACTTCATTACTTTGCAATTGCCCAAGTATTGCATCTAATTAGTGTTGATTACATGTGTGTTTAAGACCCACCCGTATTGCCTTACAACTTATTTTGGTAAACACTTTTTTGACGATTATCAGTGATGATTAATCTCTTAGTCTACCATTTTTTTGAATTACCTTCTTTATTATTTTGAATTTCGTGCAGTAGTTTGGTCAGTTGCTTTTATCATCTCCTGTTATTTACTGCCTTCAGTTCGTCCACTTACTATGGCATTAAATTCGAGAATCCTGTTGAGTGGACGGTTGCACTCTTTCGCACAATCAGCCATAGTATAATGAGTAATTATTTAGTGCCAATTTTTTTAACTAAGTCTTTCCTCGCCTGTAATATACTCGCACGGGAACTCGAAAGTCACTGAACTACATGAAGATTAATAATCAGCTGGAACTGCTGCCTACCAGTAGCTCGATACCATAGCAGGTATATAATCTAGTCGCCATCTCTTGTGCTTCTCTTCTATTTGCCCACAATAACTTCCATGGTGGCTTCAAGCACAAACATTTTTCTCTTCGGGCCGTTTTATTTACAGTAATTCTGCATCGGACTATTTTTTTAAATAACGGAGGTTAAAATTCTGACTTATATTCTCTCATTTTCAAGTCATAATTGCACGAAACTTGTGGTCTTTTTTTATTCGTCGATAATTTGTATATTCCAATACCACAACTACAAGTCTCTCTTCGTAGAATATTAAGCGCCATCTCTAAAAGCCATTTTAGCATTCTGCTTTATCCTTATAGTAGTCGGTATCACAGAACTGCAGCCTCCGGCAGTTTCTGTCAATCATATAATAATCTCAATCTTATAAATTCTTGTTGGTGAACACAATATACGGATTATGGAATCGATCGAAGGATTTCAAGTCTCATTCGAAGTTCTGCCCTACCCCACTTTAGTTTTGGGAAGATCTATAGAAATGCGGAGTTCGGCCTAAAAGCTGTGTAAATTCACAGTTGGTTAGCTTATAGATCATCGGAGTACTGCGCGGTCTCTGAAGTCGCTTCATAAGTTAGGCGTGTGAGTGGAAAACAAAATACTAGCGGCCTATGCTATCAAGAGTTATCACACCTTTCCATTTAGTTCTCGCTGTGCCTCCTGATTTGCGAATGCCCCTCCTCTTCTGAAAAAGCTCGTTTTGCAAGCTTACTTCCGGTTATTCCATTTATTAGAAGTACTTGTGGTCTCTGCTGCAGAACAAGCGAATAGTTTCTGAAAACTAATTATTTTGATCTTTCTGGACAACTTCAAGATGGTTGGTGCTTCTGAATTTCTAAATGGTGCTCAACAGTAATATCCTGCTGACAATTCGTGCGAAGAAGTTAAGCTGTCTCTATATTTAGCATACTTTTAGCAATTGTATTTTAGTTTGCGCTATAGGCCTTATCTTCTGTATTAGAACAACAAGCAGCGACTTTTATAACTACTTAAGCTTCCGAAACCGGCGTGTAGAGCTTGGAACCCGCACTCAAATTTATTTTAGTGCTGCATTCAACTGTCCGTACTGCGATTTTTTTAATTTTACACTTGATATGCTTTCAAAATGGTCAAATTTGCCGAAGAATAACCGTAAAAATGGGGCGTTGTAGAATAGTGGACACCTACCAAAATGGCGTTTCAAGGCCCCGGTCTTCATACTCGTTTTGAATAAAAACTTTGTTTTCACTGGTGAAATAACATACTTATCATTGTTTCTTCTCTAAAAAATAATGAGAGGCGGAGATTATTCCTGCATTATTAGTTGGTCCTGATCGGAAATCATTCACTCTATTACCCAGCCAAACGATTACATAGAA